ACTATTGATCGGTCTGAACCATTTGAGTCAGATACAGGAAGTTTTGCTGCAGAACAACGTCTTAGAAAACTTCGCGAGCGTTTGAACTTAGTTGATGATGCAATCGCAGAAATTAAAGCCGGTACTGGGGCACAATCCAATTTTAATTTTGGCGATATTCGAAGATGATAAAGACTACCATAGTTATGAATCAAATCATCAACATGTACATTGTTGTCTCCATTTTATTTCTTTCTGCACAAAAGACAACTCGCTATATTTATTCCCTTCCCCGATCTTGTCTAAGTCAATTGTTTGTATCGTGTTTTTCCTATCAATTATAGTCAGTTTTATCTGACATACCACTGTCTAACTACCATCTTTAATGGCATAAAATTAAGACTCGTTGCATTGGATGAAACAGTTTTCGTGATCAGTCAGTAACAACGTAGAACTTCGTACGTACGTACATCAGTTCGAGTTGCCATACCACATTAACACAGAGATGCAGTTGTCGATTCAAATCCCATAGTGGTAGAGGTAATAAGAGTATAAGCAGTAATCGGGAAGATTAGGGGTTGGAGATGTTATTTAAAGAGTATAATCCAGTGAAATAAATTTGGAAAGAGGAAAAAAGGGACATGGAGAATTCAGAAGATTAGAATCTGGGAGAACACAAAGAGTGGATGCACCTGCGCCATTGCAAATGATTTTGAGCCATGTCATTCAGGGTCTCTAACCATCGGTTGCTATCATCTCGCGGTCCCCAACCAGGTAGTCTACACCTACCAACATGACTCAGTCCACTTGTCAGTGACTTCATGGACTTGTGCCATGTTTTGGTTTGGCCACCCCTAGCTTTCTTCCAACCTACTCCTATACCACTGAACATAGCACGTCGAGGCAGTCGGTCGTTGGGCATACGTAACACGTGTCCCAGCCATCTCAACTGATGAAGTTTCACTACTTCATCAATTGATTTGCCATCCTTACCTAGTACCCGTTTCCTAACAACTGTGTTACTTACTCGATGGTCCCATGATATACGAGCAATGTTTCGAAGACACCTATGATCAAATACTAGTAGCCTACGGATATCCTCTACTCTTACCGGCCATGTTTCACTGCCATAAAGTAGGACGGAACGAACTGCTGCGCAGTAAACACGTCCTTTGGTTGATAGACGGATATCTCGCCTACGCCATAAATGACGCAAGTTGGCAAAAGCTAGTCGAGCCTTCTGTATCCGTGCTGAGATTTCGTCACACACCAAACCACAAGGGCTGATGAGACTTCCAAGATAAGTGAAGCGGTCGACACACTCAACTACTTCACTCCCTATCACTAGTTCGGGTGTCGATGTAACCCAATCCTGAAGCAACATTTTGCATTTCGAGGGAGAGAATCGCATCCCGAACATACTTGCATTGTTGCTTAGAGTGGTCAGAAGACTCTGCATTTTGTCAGCGTCTTCACCAAATAAAACTATATCATCTGCATATTCTAAGTCAACAAGTGAACCTCCCGGTACAAGTTCAACACCTAGAAATTTAGATGAGGAGAGTGTTATCTCTAAAAGTACGTCGATCACAAAGTTGAACAAGAATGGGGAGAGTGGACAGCCCTGACGAACACCACTTGAGGTAATCAATTCTGATGACAGTTCACCATAAGCTCTCACTCTACCAGTTGTGTTCGAGTAGAGAGCCTTTATAAGGTTAATGTACTTCTTTGGTACTCCTTTCAGTGACAAACACTGCCATAGAACCTCACGATCGTTCCGTCCTACTTTATGGCAGTGAAACATGGCCGGTAAGAGTAGAGGATATCCGTAGGCTACTAGTATTTGATCATAGGTGTCTTCGAAACATTGCTCGTATATCATGGGACCATCGAGTAAGTAACACAGTTGTTAGGAAACGGGTACTAGGTAAGGATGGCAAATCAATTGATGAAGTAGTGAAACTTCATCAGTTGAGATGGCTGGGACACGTGTTACGTATGCCCAACGACCGACTGCCTCGACGTGCTATGTTCAGTGGTATAGGAGTAGGTTGGAAGAAAGCTAGGGGTGGCCAAACCAAAACATGGCACAAGTCCATGAAGTCACTGACAAGTGGACTGAGTCATGTTGGTAGGTGTAGACTACCTGGTTGGGGACCGCGAGATGATAGCAACCGATGGTTAGAGACCCTGAATGACATGGCTCAAAATCATTTGCAATGGCGCAGGTGCATCCACTCTTTGTGTTCTCCCAGATTCTAATCTTCTGAATTCTCCATGTCCCTTTTTTCCTCTTTCCAAATTTATTTCACTGGATTATACTCTTTAAATAACATCTCCAACCCCTAATCTTCCCGATTACTGCTTATACTCTTATTACCTCTACCACTATGGGATTTGAATCGACAACTGCATCTCTGTGTTAATGTGGTATGGCAACTCGAACTGATGTACGTACGTACGAAGTTCTACGTTGTTACTGACTGACTGACGACGGAACGAACTGCTGCGCAGTAAACACGTCCTTTGGTTGATAGACGGATATCTCGCCTACGCCATAAATGACGCAAGTTGGCAAAAGCTAGTCGAGCCTTCTGTATCCGTGCTGAGATTTCGTCATACACCAAACCACAAGGGCTGATGAGATTTCCAAGTGAAGCGGTCGACACACTCAATTACTTCACTCCCTATCACTAGTTCGGGTGTCGATGTAACCCAATCCTGAAGCAACATTTTGCATTTCGAGGGAGAGAATCGCATCCCGAACATACTTGCATTGTTGCTTAGGGTGGTTTTCGTGATACCTGTCGTTGGCTTGTGTAATAATTATTCTTATCAACGCATGTGTTGATGTAAGTGTGACCAACAGCTACGATCAATATCGTTTTAATTTTTAATGCAACTCAGTAAATAAAGCTCGAGTTTGTATATGAGGACTTGTTACCAATGTTTCCTAAGCCAAAGTATATTTAGGGTGAATCAAGTGATCATAACCTACCATTTGGAATCTGAGTTTTGACGATTATCTTTGTACTTCACGTAGGTAAAATATCGATAACAATTCGAATTAAGATAGAACCCCAATTTATGACTCGACAGCTAAGAAGCACTACAGAATTAGCTTATTAAAAGGCTGAACGAATGAAATGTGAAAGGCACACAGTAGTACGGTATTAAGGCAGTTCATGTTAGTTATGTGTGTGTTTAAGTAGACTATCCTAAGCATCATAGCTACGTATGCATACCAACTCTCTTCTATTTCATGCACGTTATGGTTGAAGTAGAAACAGCAGTAAGAGAGACAGTCCTACATTCTTTAGTAGTGGTTTGTATTCGGTGACGCGCAAAAGACCACTAGATATGTTGCGTACATGTTGTATTTGATAGTGACTCAAGATACATAATATCACTATGCATGTGTACGTTACATGATGCAAACAGAACGCTCTTCAGATATAAAAAGATTAACATCAAGGCACACCTAAAGATCAAACAATATAACAGGAATCACCAGACTTCTCTTCAAATGACGTCAAGAACTAGTCCGGATTAGTCCACTGCCGGGATGTTGATATTACCTTCTAAAAGAGCGTGTGCCAGTCTAGACATACTTGACGAACTGTCTTGAAAAAGTTTTTTTCTTGGACTATTTGATCAAATCAGAAAAGATATACCTACATCTTATAAATCTGTAGCTTTTAGGGGATTAGACCAATTATGTATTGAATATGATACTTTCCGCTATTCGGAATAAAAAGCCGTTGCTTAGTTATACAAAGAAGCCTTAAAATCGATTGAGTAGTGACGAAGATTGTGTTTGTTTAGTTCCTCTGATCGAGTCCTATCAATCAATTTGCAATATGGCTCCTAGCATAAATGACTCAAAACTGAGTCCACTACGTTGAGATATAAAGTAATGGTAAGAGGCAGTCAACATGAAACCCTCGACCTATATTTCGCGCTACTTGGCACTCGTCAGGAATACGTACCCGTAATGTTGAGGAGACTGATGCCCCCTGGCGGGTTCCCAACCTACTCGATAGAATTCGATCAGAACTGATACTAGGCATTGCCCCGTGATCAATCAATCGTGAATACATCTCCGGGTCCTAAACAACACGAAACGTTGGTCAATGGCTTTTTGTCAACTACATTTAACCACCACTCTACACAGAGAAGAGGTTAACTGAAAGTATTTGGTGGTGGATTTACGGACTAGTTTCTTCATATTGTATTGTGTCTGAACGAGCTATTATATAATATGCTACTTACTGTGCCAAATACAGTCTAACGGAAACGCAGTGTTTAATGCCGATATTAGGAAGTGAATAAACATTTCTTATCAGAGATTACATTACCATAATGGACTCTGAAGTCTACATTCAATATTTATAGATGGTTTATACAATTTTCACAAATGTGAAATTTGTTTTTATTCATAAAGATGATCAAAGTTTGATTCATGAAAAATAATCGTTTTTTTACATTCAGTGCATTAAAACGACTAAAAGTTCTACTCAACATATTTGGAGCAAATTTCCAAAAGCAAGTAGTCATTCCTAGTCAAGTACTTATTTGACTGAAACCAAGTAACTACTAACTACCAAATATATCCGCAACTAAATATGTGCTCCAGTTGTTGACTGATTTACCAGGCACAGATGAATGTATTTAGCTTTGAACCGCACTCAGAATGTGAAGGCTGATTGTTTTATTCGTTTGACCAACCGATGTAGATCAAGTGGTTCGGATGCCATAACGACTTAAACACCGCTCTATTATCATGCTACTCGGTGGTTAAAAACATTGCGTCTGGAATAAGTCAACCTGGCCGAACAGTAAATAGAGGAACCATATGTCTGCAGACGACTGCTGATTGCTCCCAAAGCAATTACTTTAGAAACAGTTCTCACTTACTGAGGAGCTGTACAATTTTGTTGTCCATCACTACGCACCATAACAAGCAGAAGGCACATATATTGACTAGAAGATGAGTTAATGAGCATTGAAACACTTATGAAGCAATGAATGAATATATTTCAAACTATACAATCACAACTCGTTCCGATGTAAAGTTGTTGTTAGGACTGCTTTGAACTTAGAAGCTCACGCAACACCTCTTTAGACTCACTTAACTCATTATTCACTGTGTCTCGGGCTTTCTATAGCAACGTAATTATTAAAGGCAATCTTACCTGAGAAATTTCAATAGAATCAGTGACTTTGTCTCTGTCCTTCTTTATATCTTCAATTAGAGTTTCCCTAGTCTTCTTGATGAACCTTCACACATTTAATAGTATACTTTTAGGCAAATTACATTCTCCCACATGCTTTATAAGTAGCTACATCTTCAGGCAAGGTAACTAATTCACTCTCAATTAATTGTGACCGCCTGAACTTTATGTTAAGCGACTCTATTTGAGAATTTAACACGCTAATTTGTTGGTTCGCCATAACAGTTTTCTGTCTGTGTGCTTCAATAGCCTTTAAAGAAGATGAGATAGTTTTAATCAATACCTTTTTAACATCTGGATCCAACATTACCAGATGGGTGAACTGGAAGCAAAATCTCCGCAAAGTTCTCTAGGTCAGTTCAATAGACAATACCGCACTACGCAAACTTATATTTTGTGTCACGGGATGACTACCCGTCCAAGATCTAACCAATATATTACAAACTTTTTTTGTGTATTTTAATCTCTAATTTGTCTAGCAGAATTAGCAGACTGTTCGTTTTGAAGTGTCTATGTCCATGTTTTAGCAAAATACATATGATCACGTAGAAGAGTGATACTTGTTATATTATTTATATAAAACGAAGGACAGAACTAAGTTAGTTGTCGAACCTTCTCTCAGATGATTCACCTGGGTGTGACGTCACAACAGCTTCCTCAAGTGAGTACTATAAATTAGAGATTCGGTTGGCGAAAAAATTTACACAGATTTTTGTACGGTTTTTTTCATGTTCTATCTAAAGTGAATTAAAAAGGACACGGGTATTGGGAGTTTGATGAATCTTTCTTCCGTAACGCCTTTATAATTGGAAGATATCAACCTAGTCAAATAAGTAGTCGGTGAATAATGTTCGAAGATATATTTGGAAACTTGCCCATGTCTTGAGAATCGTTTGATTTAAGCTGGTTAGTAGTTGCAAGGGACGCGTAGTACGGCATACCCACTGGTGGCCTGGTGTGGATTTGTAACTGATTGCCTTCAGCCACAGTGTGTCCAGTCAAACTAATGAGGCTGGCATCAACGTCGTAGACTTACAGAACTATTTCTTTTGGGAATTTATTTACTGCAACAACTCACTCGTTTCATTATCTCCAAGATAAGGCCAGCCAGACTATTATATCGAACGAACATTCCGTTGGTAACCGCTACTCTTACAGTTTTCTCTATCCAGCAGCATGTGGTCGACGTTCCATAATATAAGTAGTCATATGCTGATAATAATATCTTTCTGCAATGGCTGGTGCATGCCATTTTTACAGGAATGATATACAAATTACAACATTTGTTGGTTCACAGAATGCTTCCCAAGTTGGATCGTTAAATAGATCAAATCAATGAAAGTGAATATCAGTATATTCGTGCAGATATCATGGTGCGTTAATGATCAGGTTTATGCTTTAGTATTACACTGAGTACAGTCTTAAAAATATTTTCCAAAGTGGTATCGCGCCCAGATTACACGCTAGATCCACTCTCGACATAAGTGCAGTGGAATTCTGGCCATGTTAATAATTTGTGTAATGAACTTTTTATACTTATGGGTATTATGAATTAGATTTGTAGAACGCGTGGTGTGAACTATGGAATAAACGTGATATGCGCGTTTTCTCAAGGTCAGACGTCAGAAGTTCCATAGCTGTGCCCCCAAAGCAAGATTCTGAAAGAAAGAGAAATGGAGGAGCAGAAACACACTTGAATATGAACGATCAACAACGCTTAACATTTTGTAGCGGAACAGACAGAGGTATGATAAATTATTAGAATAAATTCATACTAGCTAGAGTGAAATGTGATTGGAGACTCCAGATGAGAGAATGCAGTTATAAATAACAATGAATTGCAGTGTTTAACAGAGTGGAGTAGGTTCAAATGATGGGAGGAAAGTCGAAGTTGGAATAAAGAAAACTGTTTATTACAATGGAAAGTACATCAAGAGAAATAAATGTTAAAAAAACTACTAATTATATCTTTTATTTCTGACCTTCTTTTATTTTTTCAATCGATGCCAGCTGCAAGGTCCTAGTATAAAAGTCCGAGTTAGCATGTTGTAGGTTGTCTTATTAGAATAGCTAATCCCGCATAAAATTGGAAACAGGAGTCTAAATGGTGGATGTAGGACAACAACCTCAATATCACAGATTGATTTACTTGTTCTCAAACATAAAGAGCCTGATATAAGCGAAATGTTGTGTTCCACAAACACGGGTGGGTCGAAGTGATCACGCTTACCATTAATGCTTACTGATCAGTAACTTCACCCTCCCTCATTTTGTGATGTTAGCCTTATTTAAGCTCTCTTCGGATATATATCACGCCTCATACGATGATCTGTGTTTCACACACTGTTGCAAAACATTATTTCTATAAGAACCATTTCGCAAACTTATCAGGCATTCACGAATTATGGACTATGGGTAAGGCATCGATACAATGTTTTAACTGACTATAGTATGTTTCCAATCAGAATATAGGCTTAAGAAGAAGGGTATATTGTAGGATAGTTGTTTACCAAAGTAGGCAGAAAAGTAGATAAGGTAACGAGTGTCGAAATAAAATTAATGGCAAGTCAACGTAGTGTACAACAGAGTAAAAATCTGATAATGAATAGGCAAGAATGAATTCACGTTAACTCGGTGATATTGCTATTTTATGCTATCCTAACCGGTTGATGGGTTGTAGGCTCCATAGATGTAAGACCACTGGTAGCGGGCGGTCAATTGTGCGGTTCTCTTGACTTTTTATGGTGGTAGAGAGCGTTCCTTAGCAACGAAGTTTAGTTGAGCAGCATCGATAGGCCCAGTGAGTTACCTGTCTACTCCAAGCATGAAAATAAGGAAGGAAAAGTATCCAACACAACTGAACAGTGGAAAAGTGAGACAAACCGAACTTATAATCTTGTTTAGTCTATACTTGTAGAGATCCTATGATATCTGAGTGGGACCCAGATGTGTTCGATCGTGCTAGACCAGTGCAAGCGAAGGCTCGATCTCTAAGTCTTACAAATGTATGTAACTTATCTGCCATGCATATTTTAGAGGGAGGACTGTTCCATATTAATGCACACTCCATGAAAAAGTTTACCAGTTTTTTATTTGTGTTTCTCAACTTTAACCGTAGATACCTTGTCCCGAGTATCGTTTTCATGTGATTCTTGGGCAAGAACTATATTACATGCGGAAAAAGTAAGGTTTTTGGAGGGTTTGAAGTAGAGAATCAAATTAGACTTAAGCTCTCTTTTCAAAGAGGGTTCTGGTCCTATGATATGGCTTCGGGAACAGTAGGTAATGAGTGAGTTGTTCTTAAGTATATTGCGGTTGAAATATCGTTGTATTACTTCCATCTTAAGTATATCGGATAGGCGTAGGTTGGAAAATAAGAACGAACAGTATTCAACGATAGGTACTATACAGAGTTTATGAAGAATGATTTTAGATTCATTTTAAAAGAAGCGGCGAAGAATGAAGTTAAGCAATTTCCTCATTTTAGATGCTTTGATTGCGGTTTGTTCAGATAAGTTAAGACTGTGTAAGTAATGCATCCGTAGGTCAGTTACCGATGTGAGTTTGGAAGTGTGTTCTCTTTGTCGGTTTTATCGTAAGAGACGCATCATCATTACATAGCCAGACACACTTCTCTCTGTCGAGCTCCAAATTCCAGTGTTTGCATCAGTAGTCTACCTTGTTGGGTTCATGTTGGATTATTTGTATAGTACTACGTACGTCGCAAATGTCAGTTTTATAGATTACTTTTAAGTCATCAGCGCGAAGATGGGTCTTACCTGTGTTCAAACACTTGCATGCACTGTTGATGTAAATTGTAAAAGAAAATGGACCCAAGACACTGTAGAATTATGGTCTACTATGATATTAGTACTGCTCTTATAATAGACCTAATCCTAAATTTGTAGATTTGTCATGATATAACTGCCTAATCTATAAGATCTTACGTGGAAGTCACACCATCGACTACACCAACTCACTGTATCGTATCAATTACCAATACATGATGTAGAACAAGGTTAGGCTAGAGAAGGAACAATATATTTAATATGAATAGAAGATATAAGGTAACATTCAGCAGAGACCACGCCTGCATGGCCGAGCCATGCCACTCGATCAACTCCAGTCCATTCCATTCATTGTTCGCGCCTTCTCCATTGTTAGGTATTTCCCCGAGTTAAACATTGAATATCTATTTTCTGAGTAGTCTCGTGTTCACAGCTTCGTGGATTGTGTGGCTATTGTTCAATGCCACTCAACACTACACTGCACAACACCTCTAGTTATTGGTGGGGTTGTAGATGTTGCAGAATTAATTTTGGTCATTTGGTATCTGATTGTAAGAAAAAACTTGATCCATTGCAATACGGAGTTTGTAATTCCAACGAGGCTGCATAACCTCGTTAATAAGGTCATGTCTTACAACGTAACAAAAAAATGTACATTCACAATTTCGGCGCATCCCACTCCTTGTCTACTCTACATCTCTCCCAGTCGTTCCGATAGAGAAAAAATGAAAGACTAAGTACATGTCAAGCCACACTGTTACTCGTGTAAGGAAGAAAAAGGTGCAAACAAAAAACCGGTATATATGAGCATATAGAACACGGGTCTGAGTAAAAAATTTTAACCCAAACAGGATTTTTCGGAATTTTCCAGCGAAAAATCATTAAACACATATGTAAACATATTGAGAAAAACAATATCTCTGGACACGATTGTATAGAAAACCCGAGAATACAACCAAATAGTCGTGGGACGCGATCAACAAGTTAAAATCCACAGTAGTCATTCAAGTTTACTGGAAACCATACCATTCTTCCAAGTCGCGCTGTTTTAAGCCAATTCCTAGATCCTAGCAAAGTTTCGTCATAGGTAATTATAAAGGGTGGCATCATAGTCGCGAAGTTGGCACCTTTTGTTTGTTCTTCAGGAAATCCGACATAAATAGAGTTCACACCTAAATAGGTGAACTTAAGATAGTCGATGATATCGTACTTAGGCTCACACTGAAGACTTTTAAAGGGTCTTTCGTATGTATTTTCAAAAGACCGTCGAAACGAGTCACGAGGTAGAAAGAAGTGTGTAGTATATCGTAGGGCAGGTTGAACAAAACATTAGTTGACTGACGTCGAATGGAAAAATTTCAACTGAACGCATATCTTTTGTGGGCTTGCTCGTGTAAGAGTTCAGATCCATATTTGTTGAAGACGAAAGATTCGCGAATTCTCCTGAAAATTATAATATCGTCCAGTAAATGAGTTGTAATACAGTGTCTAACATCATGCTTATTACACTGTGAATGCCGACTAAAACGAGTGAAAGAGAGTCAATCCACTGTGAAACGACTGCAGCTGTTGATGAAATCGTTCTGCA